GGGGGGGGGGGGTTAGAATCCAAGAGGAACACTCTGAGAAGAGGATCCAATACTTGCTGTGCACTTTTAGCACGTCATTTCACCTCTCTAGGTCTCAGTTTCCTCATATGTGAAGTGAGGGGGCCAACCAAACCCCCTTGCATAGTCTATGAATTTAGTCATTCATCCAATCGTCTTTACTCCTCCCATCTTGGGATAGCCCTACTCTCCGCTTCTCCATGAATCTCTTCTTCTCCCCCAAATCCTCTTTGTCTCTCCCCAATCTAACTCCTAGATATTCCGCACCCCTTCTCTCTACTTGCAGGCTCATAAGTTCCCCTCTCTTCACCCTCACCCTAAGCACCTCTCCCACCCCCAAGCCCCTGGCACACCTGTCAACAGAAGGACTCTGTGCATCATGGCTGGAAGCAGCAGGAACCCTGTGCACGCACCACCAAAGCCAGGAAGGGCATGAAAAGAGAAGTAGTAGGAGCTGAAATCTATTAGAGACTCAGAGGAAGAGGGCGGGGGCTCAGTGAGCACATTGCCTTCTGACCTTCCTCCTGTGACTGCACACAGCCTGTGCCCCCTCCCTACCAGCTTCCTAGCCCAAACCAGAAAGGTCACTCTTTCAAAGGTGTTGCCTGTTTGCCCACCTGCTTCTCGGGTTGGCGGAAACACTGTGAAAAGCAGGCCAAGTGTGCTTAGGGCCGGTCTCCAGGAACAACGTGTGTGCTACACAGTAATACAGACGATGCCCGTGTGGGAGGTCACCCTCTGTGTCTCCCTGAAAGCACGCTTTGCAAAATGTCCTTCCCTCCTGCCCAAGGACACAGGAGTGCCCTTCAGCCAGAACTGTCCTCTTTTGTAGCCATCAATAAGGACGACTCAGATACAGAGAGACCTGGTGCTTTTTAAATATTACTTTGTGTGTTTTTTTAAAAAAAAACCTCAAACCCACCTGACTGGTGTGGCTCAGCGGTTGAGCATCGACCTACAAACCAGAAGGTCACAGTTCAGTTCCCAGTTTCACACCCCAGTTTTGGGCTTGATCCCCTGTGGGGGGGGATGCAGGAGGCAGCGGGTCAATGATTCTCTCTCATCATTGGTGTTTCTCTCTCTCCCTCTCCCTTCCTCTCTCTGAAATCAATAAAAACGTATGTTTTTTTTTAAAAAGCATTTTAATATAACTAAATAAATAAATAACATCTGTCCTTTTAGGAAAAGAAAGAAAAAAACTCAAACTCTTTGCCCAGGAATTTCCACTTCCAAAAATTTATCCTAAGAAATAGCTGACAAGTACAGTCAAAGAGGGGTGTATAAACTTTTGCATTGCAGCACTGTTTTTAATAGTGAAACACTAGAACAGCCTAACTACCCAACGACAGAGGACTGGCTGAATGATGTCTCTGTGATATATCCTTACGTTCCACCTAGTCTTTCCTACATCTGTTTCAAAGATGCAAGAGCATGCTTTCATGAAATATATAAAAAGCCACACAGTACTTTGTGACTGCTAATGTAAGCCCCAAGCCGGTGATTTTTTTCATTCTATCTCTAACACATTTTTCTCTTGACCCAATTCTCCTTTCTTAATAAACAAACCAAATAAATGTTTGCTTTCTGAAAAACAAAATCATTAAAATTCTGTATGTTTTGTTTTAAAAATTACCTGTTTAAAAATATGCATGCGTGGGAAAACCAAAATGTTAATAGTGGTTACCTCTGGATGGTTAGGGTTCTGGGTGTGTACCAGTCATCTACTGCTGTAGAGCGAACCGCTCCAAATCGTAGCGACTTAAAAGAGCGACTTATTATTGTCTCAGGGTCCTGTGGACTGACTATCTGGCCTCGGCAGTTCCCACTAAAGGATCTCACATTGCAGTAAGATAGTGAGGAGCTGGAGCCATCCAAGGTTCAGGTGGGCTGGACAGGCCCAACTCACACTGCCAGTAGTTGATGCTGGCTGCAGACGGGGAGCTCAGTTGGGGCTATCAACTGGAGCACCTACATGTGACCTCTCTGCCTTGGGCTTCTCACAGCACAGTGGTTAGATTTTAAGAGAAAGTGTTCCAAGAGACAAGAACTGAAAGTTTTCAGTCTCTTAAGGATCTGATCTAGAAACTGTCACAGAGTCACTTCCACCATATTCTATTGGTCAAGAAGCCACAGAGCTCGTCCACATTCAAAGAGAGGGGACAAGGGTCCCACATCTCAGTGGGAGGTGTGTCAAAGAATTGTGGTCAATTTGAATCTGCTACAAGATGATTTTAGTTTTCTTCTTTGTATTTAAAACTTTTACACAAAAAATATGAATGACTTTTATAATCAAGAAGAAAAGAAAAACACCAGTAAATAGTTTAAAACAAAGTACCTGTACTTGTTAGCAGGAAAAGGGCTGAGGAAAGAGGAAAAAAGCTGTGGACCCAGGATGAGAGGATACCAACCAGGATGTGGGAGAGTAGTTTAGTAGATAAACTGGGGGGGGGGGTTTGGTAAAAGTGTTTACACTCTGATCACCACAGACATTGTGGCCCCTCCTTGACCTGAACAGTGTCCAATGGCCCACTGTTTGTAAAGGCACCGGCAAAAATCTCAGAATGGCTATCCAACCTGCAGAGCCTTTCTCAATGACCAATCAGTGGGTGTGCACCTGACCAGGTGATGGCAGGTAGGCACCTATCTATAGGCTTCCAGCCATTCTCTCCCACCCATCCTCTACCCATACTCTTTTAAATATATATATATCTTTATTGATTTCAGAGAGAGGAAGGGAGAGGGAGAGAGAGAGAAACATCAATGATAAGAAAGTCGTTGATCAGCTGCCTCCTGCACACACCCTTCTGGAGATCAAGCCCGCAACAAGACATGTGCCCTGACTGGGAATTGAACCATGATCTCCTGGATCATAGGTCGATGCTTAACTGCTGAGCGATGCCAGCGGGGTCCCTACCCTTACTCTTGATAAAAATCTTAGCTTGGATTCCTTTATAAATGGACCCTGAGGCAAGGATTCAAATGCAAGTAATTTATTTGGAAGGTGATCCAGGAAACATTGGTGGAGAAGTGAAGACAGGAAGGAGCCCATAAAAGGATGCGTGATGAAACAAGTTACCACATGGACAATGCAAACTCAATACACTAAGGAACTCTGGAAGCCAATGTAGAACATGCCTCAGCATTATCCTCCTCAGTGACAGGTAAGGGGGCTAGATTCTCATCCACAACTCACATCAGCTATTCGTTAAGGGGTGCTCTCTGGGGAAGTCTTCATTCTCTGGTGCTACCAGCCTGCCCTGCACCCAGAGAGAGGAGGTTCGAGGAGCCAAAAAGAGTCCTCAGACAATCAGTTGCAAGTACTGAAAGCTAGAAATCAGGCCAACTTTCATAAGGATGTTGAACCCTGATGGGAAATAAATGGGGCAAACACAGTGTCTACTACAGATACTCAAATATTTTTTCATAGTACTTATCACTATGTGAAATTATATTATGTATTTATCTGGTTTTTCTATTGTCTGGCTCTCCTACAAGAGTATATAAGCTCCATGAGAGCAGAGATTTTCGTCTGTTTTGCTCATCACTCTATTTCTAGTGCACAGGATAGTGCCTGGTTCATAATAGAATCCCCCAAAAAAAGTGAATAATTGATTTAGAGAGAATTCTGAGAAAATTGGGAATCATCAGGAATCATTCTTCCACCTAGACAGCAATTGTACTGGCAGAATCTGTCTGATTCTGGAATCTATTCAAAATTATTTTCAGTCTATTTCAGCTTTTAGCACTGTAGCAGCTACCAATCCCCCACTCCCCCTGCCCATCCCATGTCAGGAAGCTGTGCATGCATTCCAAGAGCAGTTTACATGCAGCTTGCAGGAGCCAGAGTGGGCAGTAAGACCCCATCCCCAAAATTTGGGGGATCAGTGCTCTGTTGATTGCAACTTTTGATTTCAGAGGTCCAAACACAGAGGCAGGAAGCCATTGTTGCCATCACCCTCCATTGTGAAAGACCCCTTATCTCCAGCTGAAGCAACTTCCAGCAGATTTAAAGAGCTGGTGCCTTTTTTTCTCTCTTTGACTTTTCTCTTTTTTCCCTTTTGGGATCCAGACATTTAAGACCTAGCACACTCAGGCCTGGCTGGTTTGGCTCTGTGGTTAGAGTGCGAGCCCACAGACTGAAAGATATCAAGTTTGATTCCAGTCAACGGCATGTGCCTTGGTTGCAGGCTACATCCCCAGCCCTGGTCAGTGTCATACAGGAGGCAGCCAATCAATGTGTTTCTCTCACAAAGATGTATGTTTCCCTCTCTCTCTCTCTCTCTCTCTCTCTCTTCCCCCCCCCCTTCCACTCTCTCTGAAAAGCAATGGAAAAAATATCTTTGGGTGAAGATTTAAAAAAAAAAAAAATCTAGCACATTCAAAAGCACCAGCATACACAAGAATTTAGGACATCACCACGCATGCCCTAAGATCTTAAGACCTTAAGATCTCAGGCTGATCCCTAACATAGAGACAGCCTATAACAAATTTTATAAAAGTAAAGCAAAACAAAACAAATAACAGCAAACTTTGGGGAAGGGGAAGAATCTGACTTCCAGAATTACTATATTATTAGATTTAAATGTCTAATTTTCAAAAAAAAATCACAAGGCATAAAAGAAAAATTAAATTATGGCCCATTCGAAGGAAAAAAATAAAAAGAAAACGTTCCTGAGAAAGACCAGATAGCAGACCTACTAGACAAAGACTTTAAAGCAACTCTCTTAAAGATATTCAAAAGAGGAAGATATTGAGAAAGTCAAGAAAATGATGTGTGAACAAAATATGAATATCAATAAAAAGAATACCAAAAGGAAATTCTAGAACTGAAAGTTACATTAACTGAAATAAAACATTCACTAGAGGCTTTCTGGTGGCAGAGTCTGGAGAAGACTCACAGAAATGGCACCTTGCAAGGGAAAAGAAAAGAATAACAGGTCATCACCCTCAAACCTCAGGTAGCTGAAGGGGAAAATATTTTTGGTGTTCTCCACATCTTTGCATCCTTCAACGACACTTTTGCCCATCACTGGCCTTTCTGGCAAGGCTGTCATCTGCCATTGACTGGTGGAATGAAGGTGAAGCCTGACTGAGATGAGTCCTCTCCACATGCTGCCATACTGGATGCTTAAGAATGTGACCCAGAGGTGCAAGGAGCTGGGCATCACTGCTCTTCACATCAAACTCCAGGCCACAGGAGAAAATAGGACCAAGACCCCTGGACCCAGGGGCCCAATCAGCTCTCAGAGCCCTTGCCTGCTTAGGAACCCACAAGAAGGGGAGTCAGCGTGATCACTGTGAGCAGGACTCCTCAAATTATTCATTTCTGTTAATAAATTGCCTGTGTGTGAGCAAAAAAGAAGAGAAATCAAAGAAAATTT